AGCGTTTGACTAGTAATGACCATTACTCGCTTATTCACTACTTCAATTAATGCGTGCAAATATGAATTGTCGCGTTTTCCATTAGTTTTGGTTTGCACTTAGTAACAGATATATATTTTGTATTATTATTATTATTATGCGCTGCGTTGTGTTCGTGTCATTTTCACAGCAAACTAAACTTGATTGCTTAACAGCACTGATTTCATGCGAGCTTACAACACTGCCACTATCGATTGATATTAGTTTAAGTTATCGATGTATAATGGGCCAGGGCTGCAGTAAATGCACGCGCTCTGCTAAAAAGGTAAACACGAGATGGATTTTGATTTGGGATTTGCCGAAGAGCCAAATAACCCAGCTTGGCTAAGTAATCGCTACTTCCCCAGCAAATTAGGCGGCCAGCCGGCATGGCTCGAATTGGAAACGCTGCCAAGCGCAGCACAGCTGAAGTGCAAAGAGTGTCACTCACAAAAAGCATTTCTCTGTCAGCTTTACGCTGCTTTCGAAGAGGAGTTCAATTTCCATCGCAGCATATACGTTTTTCTGTGCAGGAACGCAGAATGCCAGCAGAATAACAAGGCTGGGTATATATAGACAAGTACTAAAATATATACAGATTAAAGTTTTACTATTATGCTTACCCAGAAATTTCACTGTGCTACGCTCACAGCTGCCGCTGAAGAATAAATTCTACTCAGAGCAGGAGCCCTCAGAGGATGGTGAGCCTTTGGTAAAAGGAAAACACATCACTTTGTTAGCCAACTGTTATATATGCTCCATATACTTGCAGTCCGCCATAGCCACTTCGAGGAAACTTTGCGCCGCATGTGGTTGCTTGGCTCCGCTTGCATGCAGCCGTTGCAAGAACATCAATTACTGTTCTAGCTCTCATCAGCGCGCACACTGGAAGCAACACAAGCCGAGCTGTGGCACTGGAAAGCCAGCCGCTGCCTTTACACCGCTTCCAGAGATTGAATTTCCTCTATACGAAATAGTCATGGAGCGTGAATCAACAAGTGAAGCAACTGAGAAGGATGAGCAAGTCTGCTTGGCCGAGTTTGAGGAGCTCTCTGCTAGTGGCCAAACGGGTGAACTACATGACGTATCCGAAAAGGAGCTGGATAAATACTTGGCAGTGCAGCTGCAGCGGATGACAAGGCTTTTCAAAGCTTTAAGAAACGAATTGCAGCTGAACCCGAGCAGATTGTGCGCTACAAACGTCAAGGCGAACCGCTGTGGATAGCCAATGTGAAGGACACGATTGAAAGTCAGCTGCGGGAGTTGCCGAACTGTGCCCAATGTGGCGGTCCACGACAATTTGAATTCCAGATAATGCCGCAAATGTTAACGCTGCTCAAAGACGAGCATCTAGACTGGGGTGTATTGGCCATATACACTTGTGCGAGCAGCTGCCCCATTAGCGGCTATGTGGAAGAGCATCTGATTAAACAGGATATAGTAGACGCACCAGCAGAAGATGTGGCTTAAGTTGTTTGGGTTACAGTCTCTCCCTCATGTATACAAACCAATTTTATTTGTTAAAGGACGAAACAAAATTTAAGAATGAAAAATACAGTGACGATCTAAGACAATATGATTACAAATCGATGTTGACTACTTTAGTTTGATAATTGGAAAATAGCTATGCTTGCTGAAATCGAACTCTGGTTGACGCTTGAGGTCCTTCTGATGACCACGAGCTAGCACATTCATAACCACAAAGTTTGTGCGCGCTATTTGAAGCAGATCCAATATCTACAAAGATAGACAATTAATTCAAATTATTTGAAAGGGATAAGTAGATAAAATCTTGCCGATCACTTACTTCCTGCTCTGGATTCTGTATGCTCTCTAGCACATTACGGGCCTGATCGAAGTGTTTGGCTGCTAAGCTGTAGAGCTCCTCGACACTATTGAGCATCATGTGATCGCGTATACTCTTAAATTCAGCATAGGAAACAGGCGGCGGGCTAGTCAACGGCACAAACGGCGCGAAGCGTCGATTATAGCGTATTTCCTCATTATCGAATTTCGACATGGGCAGACGCACACGTCCGTCTTTGGTTAGTGCACCCATTGCTTTGTACATGCCGCCGCACAAGCTGAGCAGCGCATGATAGTAAACAATCTCCTGGCGATAGGGACGCTGTTGTTTCTTATTCTTTTTGGGCTTAGCCGCTTTGCGATTCTTGCTACCAGATCCGCTGCCACCGCCATTTAATTGAATTCTGCTTTGATGCTCGGCATATTCCTCCTGTGCCAGCAATATATTCTCGGTGCGCGTTAAGGCAGAAACCAAAAATCCGACTAGAAACTCGTACGGATACCAATAGATATATAGAAACTCATGCACAGCATACAGTTCCAGCTCAAAGCCAGACATCAAATATATAAGCATTGCACGAAAACAATTGTAGAGCACCCAGGTGGAGAAGTGTGTGCTGTGCTTTAGCGCCGTTGCATGCGACTCGTTGCCCTCCATGGCACGATCATTGGCCAGCTGGTTCATCAGTGAATCCAACCGAGCCGCATCCACCTGTAGCGGATCAAAGTTCTCAATTAGATGCGCCAGCTTATCGCGCTGTCTAGCACGATTAAAGCCGCACAGTCGTATAAACTGATTGAAGGTGTTCATATTGATGCAATAGCGAAAGAAGGTTTCCAAGTGCTGTTGCACCTTGGGATCGTTGGCCACCGGATGCTTGGCGTTCAGTACTGGAGGTGAATTAAAAGCCTGCACCGAATGTCTTAGGAATTGCTTCATCGACTGTTTGCCGTGAGCCAAGCGTATGCTCGAGCTGAAGAGGCTCTGAAGCACGCTGCGTGAGAGAATACAGTGCCCCGACTTACGGCTGTACTCAATGAAGAAGTTCTATAAACAAATAAATTAACTATTAATACATAACGATGAAGTTTCTCTTGATTGTTGTTACCAGCGCCGAGTAGTAGTCCTTGTATCTGATCACCTTGCAGGCATACTTAAAGCGTGCCACCATTTCCTCCAGAAATTGGTAGCTGGCGGGGCGTTCGCGTATTTTGATGCTGCGTGGAAACGTAGGCGGTTGGCTTCTGTCATGTATGCGCGGCGAGAAGCCCATGGGATTAGGTGCCTCAGCTGTAAAGTTAACAAAAGATTTCCTGACTCACTATACACTTCTATAGAAGCCCGCATACTTCAAACCACCCTCCACGGGCTGTGTGCCACGTTCGATGGTGCGTTTGATAAGCGGTAGCAGCTCGGAAGCCACGTTCAGATTCTTATAAATCTCATTCACTGCCTCCTCGGCACTCTCAGCGCCCACCATCAGCTCCACTTGGTAGATGGCTTGAAACAAATGGCGCATAAGCGCAATCGATGCACCACAGCCATCAAACTTTGATTCTCAATGGTCGTTAGTTGCTTGCACTTGCGCACCAGCTCATCCTCCACTTCCTTCAATAGACCCGCAATTGTTGAGGGTTGTGCCTTTTCCGCTGCCAGCAGCGCCGAATTGCCATACAATTGAAAGTCCTCTTCCTCGTTTACTGCAGCCAATATGATGATGTTTTTAATTACCACAATGAGATTGCGCACAGCGGTGCAAAAGACGCGCAGCGCCTTATCCTGAATCTGTGATGGGGCATGCAGATAGAGGCAGGTGAAGAGCACCTGATCCATTGAATTGCCTTCCAGCCAGGAGACCAAACAGGCAAACAGTGCATCAAAAATGCCAATCAGCTCAGCGGGCTCTAAGCCATCCAGCTTAATTGCACCCATCTGAAATGTAGGCAACGACGATGTTATGGACTCCTCCAAAGACATTTCCTACTCACCGCTACGGCTGCTTCAAAGGAGGGCGGTGGCAAATCGAATTTGTCAAAGCCCATGCCCACATCCATTTGGGATCCATTATCTCTATCGCAGACATAGCCTCAAATAACCCGAAGCATATCTTGGGCCAGCTCGCCGGGCAACAGCTCAGAGCATGCATCGTGGAACTCCTCCGTCACATCCACCCAACCATGTATGGGATATTGTGTAATGTCTTCGGCGGCGCTGCCACCGCGTATTGCACGTTGTACTTCGCTGTCCGCAAACCCACATTCACTCATGCTCCACTCATCAGGCTCATTGCTACTCTGCTCCCGTTCTAAGTCCCTTTGCTCAGCTGTTGTTCGCATTGCAGAGACGGAAGCAGAGGCAGCGGCTGCAGCAGCTGCCGCCGCTGCTGCTGCTGCGGCGGTGGCTGCCTGAAAATCTGTTGGCTGCTCGCTGGCGTAGGTTCCGTGCATTATCCTTTATCGCCCAGACGCTTGGAAAATAGTTGATTTTGTCAATTGCTATTACTTTTTGTGTTATAAATTGAGTCTTTTGCTTTTTTCTTGCCGTGCATCAGAGATTTTCAGCAGTGTTGATAAATTTAATGCATAGCGCACAGCACTCACCAAAGAGTATTTGACAGCACTGTGTTTGAATGGCGCCAAGCGCGTTATAAATTCAAACAATTTGTTAAAAAAAAAATTAAACTGTTGAAAGCAGTCTAAAAGCATTCTACAAAAATATGCTTATAACTAATTGTTGTGCTTATTACAATATCTATCTATGTATATTAGGTAAACACTCTTGTAGAATTTGTAGTGTGATTTCTTCACATTCTTGCCTTGCCTTGTCTTTAAGATTTCGTTCAGTATTGATGGCAGTGTTGATGAAGAGTATTTGAAGATCACAGTACTTACAAGCGTATTTGACAGCACTAATTTGGCGCCAAACACGGTTAAATTCAAAGCACATGTAAACTAAACCCAAACTGTTGAAAACTGTCTAAAAGCATGCTACATAAATATTTCTCATACTATATTATGTATTTTGCTACAAGGGGCATAATAGTATTGCATAATCTTTCTTAGTATTCATTATAGGCTTATTGTAAATTTGGAGTATCATAAAGACAACATTTGACTTTTTCGTCATGCAGTCATTAAGTAATCTATATGAATGAATTGTAAATGCAGCACTTTTTATAACACGCTTAATTTTAAATATTAATGCTGATTATACAAAAATGTATATTTCTATATGTATATGAATCATATGGCTGACAATTCGAAGTTAACAATATTGCTCCGTATTCTTTTTCGGTTGATAAGAAATAAAAACTGCCTCCAGTTTACTTATGAATGTTTGCTCAACAATTGTTATCGCTTTTAATTTGTATTTACTCATATGCCCTATAAGAACAATGACTAGTGCTGCCTTATCAAATGCCAGCAACTGTTATCGGTCGCGCTCCAATTTGAGTGGAAAGTGGAAAAGCTCGCTCAGAGCTCTGTCTCTCTCTCCCTTTCTCTCCCTCTCTCTCTCTCTTTCTGTCGCTCTGTCGCTCTCTCCGCGTTCGTTCTGAGCCCACAGCACGCTTTAGTTTGTCTCCACAATTTGGGGGTTGTCCGTGTTTGAGTGCTTCGAATGCCCAAATAACGGCAGAATTGAGTGGCGCAAAAGCATTTCACCAATGCGAGGGGTTGTATTAGTTTGTTTACAACAATTCGGTTTCAGTATCAAATGCGTTGCCCTCGTGGTTAAAACGCGCTAACGGTCAACCGCTAAAAAAATAAAAACAAAATAATAAAAAAATACACTTTATATCGCACAGGGCGCACAGATTTAAAAAAACTCGACAAAAACAAAAAGAAAAAAAAATAAAAAAAAAAACACAAATCAAATACGAAGTGCCAAGTTCTGCAATAACTGCTCGACTTTCTTCAAGGAAGCAGCCGACCCATTTATTGGCCAACGCGTAAGTTTTTCTAACCCTCCTCCGATAATATGTGTTTTCTTTTTTAATTTATGTATATGGCTCATAGGGAAAATGTTTTGTTTTTGTTTTTCTTAACTGTAGTTTGTGTTTTACAATTTATTACCATATGTTTTGCTGTCTGTGTCGCTTTGACAAGTTCTAAAACAAAACAAAAAACCAAAACAAAAAAAAAACACAAAATCAAATATACGTATTTAAAGAAAAAAGAAAATAAAAATATCTGTAGCAGAACTTGATTAAATACGGCAAGAACAAACACGAAACAAAAATTACGAGACTTTTTGGCAAGCGACCAAATCAAATTATAAAAAAATTGTCTGACCCTATAAATACTATATATATATACACGACCACGACTGAACCAGAACAAAATACTATATATATTTTCACTTAAGAATATGCCAAATATTAAATATTTATAATAAATAAATTTTTATAGTTTAATAGCTTGCCTGACTAGACCCAAGCTTATTTCGAAAATATGTCGAAAATTAATATTTATTGTGCGAACATTTTTTAGATATTTTAAGTTTTTGAGCTAAGGAATCAACACAGCAGAAGGATATATAATATATTGAGTTTACATTAAAAAATAAGTAGAAATATTTTTGTAGACTTAAGTTCGAGAAATTTATATTCAAATTATAATACATTTGAATCGCCTGATTTGAAGAAAAACATGGATTTATTAAAAAATAAATCTGTTAA